TTCCTTGGTGTAAAGCCCGGGTGCAGGGGCTGCCCCCGTCCCCCCACCGCGGGGCCCTCAGTCGTCCTTCGGTGAGACCCGGGTGCAGGGCCTGCGTCCCGTCTTCCCATGCGCCACCCGACCCTTCGAGTCGTCCTTGGTGAGACCCGGGTGCAGGCCTGCTCTCCGGTCTCCCATCCACGCCGCCCCTCAGTCGTCCTTGGTGAGACCCGGGTGCAGGGCCTGCTCCCGTCCCCCCATGCCCGCCCCCCTCAGTCTCCTTGGGTAGAGAGCCGGGTGCAGGCCCTCGTCCCACCGCGCCCTCAGTCGGTCCTGGTGAGACCCGGCGTGGCCTGCTCCGTCCCCCATGCCCGCGCGCCCTCAGTCGTCCTTGGTGAGACCCGGGTGCAGAGGCCTGCCGCCCCGGCCCCTCAGTCGTCCTGGTGAGACCCGGGTGCCAGGCTGCTCCCGTCCCCCCGCACCGCCGCCCCTCAGTCGTCCTGGTTGAGACCGGGTGCAGGCCTGCCCCCGTCCCCCCACCCGCCCCTCAGGTCGTCCGTTGGTGAGACCCGGGTTGCAGGGCCATGCCCCCGTGTCCCCCACCGCGGCCCCCTCAGTCGGTCCTCGGTGAGACCGGGTGCAGAGGCCTGCTCCCGTCCCCACCCCACCCCAGCGCCTCATGTCGTCCCTTGGTTGTAACCGGGGGTGCAGGGCCTGCTCCCTCCCCCCATGGCCGGCCCCCCCTCAGTCGTCCTCGGTGAGACCCGGGTGCAGGGCCTGGCCCCGTCCCACCGCGCCCTAGGTCGTCTTTGGTGTAACCCGGTGCAGGGGCCTGCCCCCGCCCCTCAGGTGTCTTGGTTGAGGACCCGGGTGCAGGGCCTGGCTCCCGTCCCCCATGCCCGCCTGCCCCCTCAGTCGTCCTTGGTGAGACCCGGTGCAGGGCCCTTTGCTCCCGTCCCCCATGCCCGCGCCTCAGTCGTCCTTTGGGTGTAACCCGGGTGGCAGGCCTTCTGTCCCGTCCCCCCATGCCCCCCTCCAGTCCGCTTGGTGAGACCCGGGTGCAGGGCCTGCCCCCGTCCCCCCCACCGGCCCCTCGAGTCGTCGGTCCTTGGTGAGACCCGGGTGCAGGGCCTGCCCCGTCCCCCCCACCGCGCCCCTCAGTCGTCCTTGGTGAGACCCGGGGTGCAGGGCCTGCCCCCGTCCCCCCATGCCCGCCTGCCCCTCAGTCGTCCTTGGTGAGACCCGGTGCAGGGCCTGCCCCCATCCCCCCACCGCGCCCCTCAGTCGTCCTTGGCATAACCCGGGGTGCAGGGCCTGCCCCGTCCCCCCACCGCGCCCCTCAGTCGTCCTTGGTGAGACCCGGGTGCAGGGCCTGCCCGCAAGGCGGCGCGGGGTGGAAGGCGGCAGGGGACCGCGCTGTGCAGCAGGGCCCGGCCGGCGTGCGGTCTCATCTCTGACGCAAACCAAGACCGCCGCGAGCTTCCACTGCACACCCACCAGGGCAGCGCACGTCAGAAACATTTTTTTTGAAAAAAAAGTTGAAGGAAACGCGTCTTCGAGGACGTGGAGAGACTGGCGCCCTCTGACCTGCCGAGCGGCGCGGCCGCGGCGGGAAACGGCCCGGACGCCCCTCAGTAAGTTAGACCTGGAGCCGGCGTCCGCCCGCGCTGCCGGGGTCCCCGGACCGAAGGAGCCGCCCGGCGTCCATCAACACGTGGCCAAACGGCCCTCGGCCCAAGGACCGAGACGCCTGCGACCCGGCGGACCGGGAAACACGGCGCCGCGCGGGAGGCAGGCGCGGAAGGACAAAGACCGTGCCATGCCATCTGTGGAAAACGCCGGAAAGGCCGACCGCAGAGGCAGAGGGCAGCCCGGTGGGGGGAGGGGCTTCCTCTTGGGGTCGCCACGACACCCGGGAACTAGGGAAAGGTGACGGCCACACGGCACCGTGCGTGTGCTCAGGGCCGCCGGATCGCACACCTTAAAACGACCATGCTTGGGAATTTTACTTCTAAAAAAACCCGCAAAAAGTGGAATTTAGGGTAAAAAAACAAAAAAAATAAAAACCTGACTATGGAGGGCTGCTCTGAGCACCTGGCTTCCGGCCGCAGCCGCGAACGCGTGCACGTGACCTGCAGGGGCGGCCCCGCCCGAAGCCGGGGCGGAGGCCCTAACGGAGCGGTCCCCCGCCCTGGAAACGCCCCCGACCCCGCGGGCCGCCGGCTGCAGACCCTCGGCCACCGCGTGCAAACTCGATCAGCTAGAACGAACTGGAACTTCCGGTCCTCGGTCACAGCACGCACGCTGCAGACACTTCAAGGCACACGCGGTGACGGAGGACACGGTCACCGCCGCCCCGCGGAAAGCTCCGGCGGATGGCGCTGCACGTGCGACACTCTCGAGCGACTGACGTAAAGGGCGTACAGACGAGCCGGGCCGCCTGGGAATCGGGGAGCGCCTGGCTGCGGCGCCGGCGCCATCTTCCCGACGCCATGGCGCCCCGGCCCGGCCCGCCCACCTGCTTCTTCTTGAGCTTGGAGATCTGCTGCTCCACCATGGTGATCTCGCGGTCCACGCGGTCCATGTTCTGGATCAGCTCCTCCTTGGACAGCCGCGGCGGCACCAGCTCCAGCTCGGCGTCCGCGTGCGGGGGGCTGGGGGGCGACACGGGCTCCAGCTTGCCCGCCAGGCCGCGGTCCTGCGCGGGGACAAGGGCGAGTCAGGGCCGGGGGCGCCCCGCCGGTGACCCCACACACACCCCGTTTCCAGCCCCGGCTTCAGCCCAGCACGCCACACGCCGGCCGCACCCGCCCCGCCTTTGCCCTCGAGGGTCCCTTGCCAGGTGCGCCCGGCCCACCGTCCACCCGACAGCTCAGAGGCCCCCGTCCTTCCATGCGGTCCCAACGCGCCTCCTGGGTGAACGCGCGTCTCTGCCTCCACGCACCCCATTGCGTCCCCCGCCAGCCCGGGGCGAGCCTGGGTGCCGCCAAGGCGTCGTGGAGCTCAGGGCCAGCGAGCAAGACCCGGAGCCTTGCAGCCAGCGCGCGTCGTGGGAAACACGCGTGTGCACGCACGCATACACGCACATGTGCACAGAGAAACCACCAGAATGGGGTTCTCCGGCGCTGAGAAGTTGAAAGGGGTTATCGGGCAGCCGGGAAGGAAGGGGTGTGTTTGCTGTCTTCTCTTTATTCGCCAGTATTTTTCTGACTTTCCTTCCCTGAGGGAGACTCTCCGTGTGGTAAGCTGTTTTGGAACACGCAAAGGGACCCTGCCCAGCACCCAGGCTGCCGCGGCCCTCCGGGGATACCCAGGCCAAAACCAACCCAGTCCTCGCTGTGCCACCCTGGGCTCAAACGCCAGCCCCTCTGCCATCCCAGCACCGTGAGCTCCCTGCCTCAGTTTCCCCATCTGCACAACGCAAAGACTAGCAGTTCACACCTCCCAGGTGCTGGACGCCTGAAGGGGCCGGCGTGTGCAGGGAGCCCCGCAGAGCCTGGCGCACTGCAAGCGCTCACTGAGCGCCGCCTGGCATGGCCCCACCCCAAACCCGCCCGGCCTGGCAGCGCGGGCGGAAGCCACCCCCGCCCCTGCCACCCTCCGGGCCAAGCCGGCAGCTGCTGGCAGACCGGGCCGGAGCAGCGCCAGGCCCCCCCTGCCCCCACGGCAGCTGCACCCGGAGGACACAGGACACATTCTTCCCCGGACAACTGCAGCCCCAGGCCACCAAGCGCCCCTCCCGACCTCGGGACTGGCAAAGGCCGCGTCATCTTCTGTTCACCCCCCTCCCCCGCCCCCGGGGTCCTCCCGCCCGCGACCCCAGCAAGGCCCCCAGGCCTTGGGATCCCGCCAGGCTTGCCTCCGGCCTGTCACCATCTGGGACGTGGGGACTCGGGGCCGGAGTGGGACAAGCAGGCTCGCCCCCCTGACACACACACACACAGAAAAGGGCTCCAGTCCTCCTCAGGGACGCCCTGGATCAAACTGGGGACTCCTATGGCTCGGTGTGCCCCAGGCCCCAGCACGGCCCTCTAAGCGGGTCACGGCTCCATCCCCGCTGGACAGACGGGGAAACTGAGACCCTGGGCCTGCAGGGCTCTGAGCCAGAGGCCGGCACACGTTTCTGTGAAGGCCCAGGTGGTGAAAGGATGCCCGGGCTTTGAGGACCAGGAGGGCCATCCTGCCACCCCGCTCAGGGCGGAGAGCGCGTCACACACAAGCGTGGCTGGTGCCAATAAAACTTTATTCACAGAAGCAGGCTGGGGGCCAGATCTGAAGTCTGCCCTGCTCTGAGCAATTCGCAAGCCTCTGTTCATGTCACCGTCACAGCCACCACGGGAAGGGGGAATATTGTTTTCTCCATGTCCCAGAGGAGGAAACTGAGGCCCAAGGCCACCCAGCCACAGAGTGACGGCCCCTTGGCTTGGAGGGGGGAGTGGCAGGGGCGTCCCCAGCAAAAACAGGGTCCCAGCCACACACCTGTTCACTCCACGGCACCAAGCGGCCAAGCAGAGAGCTAAACAGGGTCCAAGACGCCCCGAAATTAGAGGCAGATCTGCGTTAAGGAAAGTCCCCTCGAAAAACACTCCGGCGTGCGCATGAGCGTCAGCGGGGGCAGGGCCCCACTGCTCCCCGGCAGGAGGGCAGGCCGTGGGCCCGACCCCACACGGGCAAACACAAGCAGCTCATGCACCCCCTGGCCTCGGGGCAAGTCACCCCCTCTGCGCACAGTGCCTGATGCCACTTCTGTGCCAGATGACATCAGACTCACCTCCCAGAGCCACCAGCCCAGGTCCGCCTCCCCTCCCCCAACCCGGTGTCCCCAGACTTGTCTGGTCTCCCCCTGCAGCCTCAATCATTTCTCAGTGTTCTTGAGACAAAAGTTAGCAGCAAGACCGGGCGCTGTGGCTCATGCCCATCATCCTAGCACTCTGGGAGGCTGAGGCAGGAGGATCGCTTGAGCCCAGGAGTTAGAGGCTGCAGTGAGCTGTCATGACACCACTGCACTCCAGCCCGGGCAGCAGAGTGAGAACCTGCCTCAAAAAACGGGAGATCACAGAGCAGGAACAGGGATGTGGGCGGAGGGCTCTGGGGCCAGGCCACCCCGAAGCGGTGACAGCGAACTCTTCATCCAAACCGGAATCAATCTCAAAAGCGACATGAAGGAAAAGCAGGTTTCCACCCCAAGGCCAGGGCAGGAAAGCATAAGCCAGCACACCCGACCCCCACAGGCAGCCAGGCAGCAGCCGGGGCCACTGTCCCATCGGATGGCCTCAGCGTCCAACTTCAAGCCAACGCTGACAAGTTCACAACGCCAAATTAAACACAGAGAGGCAGCTAAGGCCCCCGGACCCCCTGGCCTCCCCCGTCCGAGCTCCGAGAAGGGGCAAGGCCCCGCGTCACACCCTGACAGGTCTACCCCTATTCTGGCCACAGCGACAGGTTCCAGGATGGGCACAGCCCACTCGAGGGTAAGGAGAAAAGCAGTTTGCAGCTGGAAATGCGGGGAGAAAGGAGAAGGAGAGCTCTCTCTTTTTCCTTGAACCTGGAAGGAGGAAGGCCTGTGGTCACCGGTCACCTTCTATTAACATACCAAGACTTGTGAAGCTGGCAGTTTCGAGGCAAGAGATGCCATATTATAATGAGTGGGGTCTGGTGTAATGATGACAAGCGCCGAAAGAAAAACTCCTGACTTTTGGGACACTACGCCAGGATTCCGAGCTTGAGTTTAACAGGGTGGTGTCTGTCCCTTTCAGCCAACAGAGCTCCAGGAGCCCCAAGGGACTTGCAGGTGCTGCGTGTGACAATCCTCAAGTCTCGCAAAACAAAAGTCTGGGCAACTCCTAAAGGAGTTTCTGATGCCACAGGGCTCCAGAAGCTTAAAGGCAGGAAAGAATTATAAAAGCAGCGCATTTTTATATGAAAAAGGAACACAGCGGGGTGGAGGGAATACACAAAACCCGCCGAATTCCTGTCTCACGCACGCAGCTGAGTCCCAGGCGACCTGCACGCTCCTGACAGTTTCCTTGCTCAGACTTCCCACGCCCATCACAGCCTGAAGCGTCACAGCAGTCCCCGCAGCCCGGCCCCACCCCCACGGCCCGGGAGGGAGGGACACGCAGAGACGGAGACGAGAGATGACAGAGACAGAGAGACAGACACAGAGACCAAGAGGGACACCCAGAGACAGAGACGAGAGATGACAGAGACAGACAGACACAGAGACCGAGAGATGACAGACAGAGAGACATACACACAGGTCAAAAGGAACACAGAGACGAGAGATGACAGAGACAGAGAGATGACAGACAGACATACACAGAGACCAAAAGGAACACACAGAGACAGACAGAAAGATGACAGAGACAGAGACAGAGAGACATAGAGACAGAGACAGACACAGAGAGATGACAGAGACAGAGAGACATAAAGAGACAGACACAGAGACAGAGAGATGACAGAGAGATAGACATAGAGACCAAGAGGGACATGCAGAGACAGACAGATGACAAAGACAGAGAGATGCACAGAGACAGAGACAGACACAGAGACAGAGATCACAGAGACAGACACACAAAGACAGAGACTGAGAGATGGCAGAGACCGAGAGACACAGAGACGGACGCAGAGAGCGCGAGGGTGTGCAGGCAGGCAGAGAGGGAGCCCCAGAAGGACAGGGAGGCGGGCCAGGCAGAGGGCGTCAGGGAGCACCGTGAGGACGGAGACCTGCTGAAGAGCCAGGGGCGCGGGCCCAGCCCTGCCGCAGACGCCGCCGCGGGGCTGCAGGGCACCCCGGCCCCCGCCCTCTGGGCAGAGCTGGCCTGAGCGTCTGGGGCCGGCCCTGGGAGGCGCGGAGCTCCGGGCAGGGCCACAGATCCAGAGTGGGTGGCACTCGCCGGCCCAGCACCTGGCTCACGTGAGCGCCACTTGGCGCTCGCTGCTGTCACCTTTACTGCCGCCGTGTGAATGCCTCCTCCATGCTAGCCTCCCGGGAAGGGACCCGCCTCAGCCCGAAGTCACAGCCCCCAGGCCCACCCAGGGCCGTCAGGCAGAGAGGAGGACCCAGAGGCCCGAGTGGGCCACTTCCCTCCCCTCCCCTGGCCGGCTCCCAGTGCCCGCCCCTCCCCCACTGGCACTGCAGTAAGATGACCCAGGCCGGCTCCTCCCCAGGGGGTGGCCGTGCAGGAACCTGTGTGTGTCCCTAGTCCTGCAGGAGCCGAGGGAACCGCCCCACACCGCGGGGGGAAGGCCGCATCCACCGCGGGCCAGCGGGCCTGGCACCAGGCCGGCCTGGCCACGGTCCCCACCCCAGCCGGGACTGCAGATACAGTTTCTGAGGCAGCTGGGTGACCACAGGGAACCGAAGCCACCGCCTGCAGTTCCGCCACCGGCCCCACGGTCAACGTGCTCTGCGTAAAACGGAGACAAGACAAGCTCCCAGCCTTGACCATCCTGAGGTTTACCGGAATAGGAAACCTAACAGAAGCAAATCATAGGCGCTTAATCTCTGCACATTCTCCCCCCACCACCAGTTTCAGCACCACCTCCTGCTCTAAAGAGGAGGGATGGGCCGGGCGCGGAGGCTCATGCCTGTAATCCTAGCGCTCTGGGAGGCCGAGGCCGGAGGATCGCTCAAGGTCAGGAGTTGGAACCCCTGCTGCCCCCGCCCGCCCAGGGGAGGGTGAACGTGCCAGTAACAGACCCCCCCCCCCACCTGCCTCCTGCGGACAGCAGAGCACAGCAGCCACTGGGTGAAGACCTGGCCCATCCTGCCCGAGCAGGATGCAGTCTGCACCCCTGCAAGCCAGGGGTCCCAATCCTGGGGAGCAGGTGGATTCCTGTCCTGGCTGGGCTCAGTCTTCCCACCCAGGAAACTGGGTACACAGCTGTCTTGTGGGGAGAATTCAGGTGCTTTGGGGTTCCCCAGCCAGGTGGCACGCCAATGCTGGTTGAGGTCAGGGCAGCCTTGGGGTTGCCAGGACCCGGGGGCGGCCAGGTGGCTGAAGACCCTTGACGTGGGGCCGCTGTGAGCCCCCACCCCAGGCGCACGGGGAGGAAGGACGTGTCCCCCCACACCCCCATCCCCCTCCCCCCCGCTGCCGACCTGGACTGTCCAAATCTGTTTGTCGTTAAACCTGAGAATGGCCACAAACAACAACACAACAGTAACCAGAAAATAGGAGTAAACTCAAAGGGCCCTCCAGGCACGGGGGGTGGGGCCGGCCCCAGAGGCTGGACACGCGGGTGAGGGGTCCTCTCCAGCCAAAAACCGGCACCCGGGCACCCCCTCCCCGGCTGGGAGCTTCCACACAGCCAACATGGCCGCACCCACGGGACCCAGGGCTCGGACTAGAGTGCGGGGGGGCAGCAGGGCTGAGCCAGGCGGTCCCAGCACCCCGAGGGGAGCGCTCTGCCGGCCGCATCTGCCCCTCTCCCCTCCCCACCCCAACCACCAGGGCCACATGCCACCTCCCGCCTCCGGGCCTTGGCACTTGCCATTCCTGCCACCTGGAACACCTGGCTCGGTTCTTCCCACCTCGGCACCTCCAGAGAGACGCCTGGTCCCTGGCCCTGCTCCCGCCACAGGCCCCGTGCCGGGTCCCCCCTCCCAGCCTGTCCCCTCCCTGCACGCCGCCCTCCCCCACCCGCCTGCAAGCAGCAGGACAAAGCCCGCGGAGTGGCCCCGGCTGGGCGCCCGGCCTTACCTTGGTGAGGTCCTCGGACCCGCCGGGCTGGCCCGCGGCCAGCAGCGGGGACGGCCGCAGCAGGGGGTCCGGCAGCAGCTCCAGCCGGGGCCGCTTGCTCTCAATGAACTCCATCTCCGCCTTGCCCAGCTCAGGCAGGTACGCGTGGGGCTCGGCTCGCAGGTGCAGCTCCTGGGACCTGCGGGAGGTGAGGCACGGCGTCACGTGGGAGAGCGGGGCCCCGAGATCTACTGCGTGCCCAAGACCTACTGCGCACCCCCAAGGCCTACTATGCGCCCTGCGCTGTACAGGCTGTGAGGAAGGCACGGGCAGCCGCCCCCCATCCCAGGCCACTGCCTGCGTGGCCTTCCTTCAAGCCACATTCACAGTGACCACGTTTATGTGCGTGGACGCCAGAGGACCCGAAGTGACGGCATCGTCCCCGCCTGGAGCCGGCTAGACGCACAGGACCCCCAGCCCCCACCCCAGACCCGCCGCACCGACTCCCACCCCGCCTGCCGGTCACCACCCCCCCCGCGGGTCACCCCCCCCCCGCCCGAGCCACACACCACGGAGGCCACGGAAGGTCCATGCTGGCGGTCCGGGGCCGTGTGGCCCTTCCCCACTCGCCCCTACCCTTGCCCCGAGTCACGGCCGCACCGGGTCAAGGGCAAAGTCCCCTCGTTGACCCCGGCCCCGGCAGCCCCTGCGCGGCCTGGACGGGGAGGCGCGCGCCCTCACCGTTCATTCCCTGGCTGGAACTCGGACAGCAGGGACGGCCGCCGCCTCTGGGGCTGGATGATGGAGCCGGGCGACAGGTGGGCAGCGTAGTCGCGGGGGTGGTGCTGGTACTCGAGCAGCCCGACGTCCTGCGGAGGGACAGGGGAGCAGGTGAGCACAGGCGGGCGGCGGCCGGACAGCCACGCACAGAGGGGCAGGGCCACGCGCCCCCAAGGGATCCTCCGGGTCTAGTCTGGCCAGAGGCCACTCCCGGCTGAGCCAAGGAGGAAGAGTCGCAGAGGCTGCTAGGCGGGCACTCAGCGGGCCCTGTCCTTCCCACGCACACACACGCACGCACACACACGGGCCCCGGGACCCGCGACCACACCCACTTTCCAGATGAGACAACAGAGCCCGGACCATCTGCCTGCAAACCGCCCCACCCACTGCATGCACCTGCTGCGGAGGGAGTGGCGGGCGGAGGGGAGAAGGCTGCCCCCCCACCCCCCCACCGCGCTGGTGACACGGGCAGGAGCCTCGGAGTGCAAGCCAGGACCTGCACACGTGCGCCCAGAGGACAGGGCGGGCGGGGGGTGTGCTGTTTGCAAAAACAGGACTGTGTTAGCAGGTGAAACTGGACAAATGCCCAGCCTAGCCGCCCCTCGGAGTGGAAGTGATCGAGGCTGATCGAGGCGTCCACGCGAGAGGGGCCGCAGGCATCACTTGCCGGGGAGGGGGCGACACAAGCACCGCCCGTCTGGACTCTTTACAACGAGTTGCCCCCCCAGGAGCCGCCACCGGCCCTGCGCCACACGCGTGGGGCATGCGTCAAAGCAAGAGGCTGAGTCTCAGGTGACACCCCCTTCTTCAATAAAATGCCCTGTTTTGAAAGACGCCGTCCTTGACTGACCACGTGGGCCGGGAGCCTCTGGGCCGCCCTCCCGGCTGGGCCTGGGCAGCAGCAAGAATCCGCCCTCCACGGCGGCCTGGGGAGAGACCCCAGCCTCGGGGGCCCTCTCGGTCACTTCCCACCTAGGGACCCTGTCTCCACTGCCTTGGGGGCCGGCCGCCCCGCCCCCGCCCAGCGCCGTCCCGCCGCGGGCCGCCGCGCTGTCTAGCCAGCGTCAGGAGGACTCTCCCGCTAACACGTTATCCGCTGTTGTCAAGGGAAAAAGTCAACATTAACAAATTAGCTGTACCCCGCCTGCCAAGGACACCCAGATTTGAAAAGCATTAAAATGTTAAAAAAAAAGGGAAAAAAAAAAAAGGCAGTAACAAGCCACTCAAACAAGAAAACCAGCCAGGCTTCACTCACGCGCCAGGCCCAATCGATTAGTTCTGCCTGCCTGGGTCGCTCAGCCAGACCGTGTGTGGCAGTCGGTTAGTGATGCCTGACAGGGCGAGGGCTGGGAGCAGTGGGGCTGCGGGAGACTCGTTTCTTCTTGGCACCTTTTCTCCGTTTCCCCAATTTTCTATCAAAGTCTAGTTGTTCTTTTGTTGCCCAGCTTTTTTTTGTTAAGCAGGAGCGCCCACTAACACGTTAGAGGGACAGCAGGAGGCTGGAACGCAACTGTTGGGCCCCTACACGACAAGCACACATAGCCCAAGCCCAGAGGCCAGGCAGGACGTGCCCTGGAATCCGAGGGGCCCCGCAGCCTCGGGAGCTGGGGAGGCCGAGGAAAGGACGCCGGGGCGGCCCGGTGCAGAAGCAAGCAGCTGCCGGGCCTCAGGCTGGGCTGATGCTCTGGCCTGGTCCTCAAGCCCTCCGCACCTCAGTTTCCTCCCGCCCCCATCTTTGACTTGGGTGCCTGGCCCAGATGGAGTGAGGTCCCCACACCTCCCACCATTAATGTCCCTGAGCTCTCTGAGGGACGTCCCCAAGGCTGAGGGCGGCTTGCAGGGGCGGAGAGGGCTGGGCTCCCCTCGCCTCCCACGGTGTCTGGCAGGAGAGGCCAGGTGCTCACACATGGGGGGGAGGGGAGGGGAGGGAGACAGGAGGAGGGGGAGGGGAGGAGGGATGGGGAGGGGGAGGGGAGAGGAAGAGGAGGAGGAGGAGGAGGGGCCTCCTCACGTCCAGTGCTAGCTCCGGACCCTGGGATGTCTGAGGAAGGGGCTGGGAGGAGGGGTTTGTGGGGTGCTCCTCTCCGGCACCCCCGGATGGATGGAGATCCTCCCCGCAGAAGGGGGCAAGGAGACATCTGGGGGTGCCTGAGACAAGCAAAGGAAGGTTTCTCGCTGAGCAGCCAGGGGGGCGAACGGGGTAAGCCCGGGACTCTGAGGGCCCCGTGGCAAGCACCTGGAGACATGGTATGCAGTAGGTGCCCAATAAGTGCCAACAGAGCAAAACAGAGGCCCATCCTCCCGGCCAAGCCACGCAGCAAGGGGTGAGGTGGGAGGTGGGCTCCGCAGGGGTGCAGCTCAGGAGACCGGGCCTACGTGGCGGCCACGCCATGGGCACCTGCACCCCAGGCCGGGTCTCCGCCCAGCCATGCTGGACCCGTGAGCAGAGCCACGCCCTGGACCCCACACACCCGCGGTCAGGGACTCAGAGGCGTCTCAGGGGCTGGCCGTGGATTGCGGGCACCTGGCCACAGGGCATGAACTCCAGGCCACAGGGGTGGAGGAAGCAGGGCGAGACCTATGGCCCCAGGGGGCCAACCCAGTCCCACAGCAGGGAGGATGCAGGGGTGGGACTGGGCTGCGAGGAAGGTGTATACAGCAGGCGCTCCATGTTTGCATGTCAACGCCACTGCCGATTAAGAGCGAGGCCGAGCCCCAGCTCCACCTTACCGGCCTTCAAATGGAAACAAAGAGCCCGCCCCAGCCGCCCCAGGGCCAGGGCCCCGTGGGGGCACCCCACTGCCCGGGGCTGGAGCCGGCGCCACGCCAGCCTGGAACAGGGTGGGGACCCGTGGGACTGCAGAAGGGCCCCAAAGGTGGCCCCAGACACACACGTGCCCTTACCGTGTGGGGCCGAGCGATCTGCACCGGGTAGGAAATGCCGTGTGGCGGGTAGCGGGGCTCGGTGGTCCTCCACGTCTGAGCAACGGGCTGCGTGGATCCCGACATGGCGGTGGGGGTCCGGGGCTCCCTCTTAACGGCCACCGAGGATCAGGAGCGAGTCCCGGTCATCTGCTCGCGGGCCGCCCCGCCACAGGCACCTGTGAGAAAACCAGCAGAGAAAACCAGGAGATCAGCAGGGCTGCGCTTGACTCGCACGGGGCCCCCGGCCACTCCCGGGGCTTCGGGGTCTGCGCAACCCTCCCCCACGCGCCGCCACCGAGGCCCCCAACTGGCAGGCACAGGGCCCCACTCCGCACGGCCCCCCAAGCCAGACGGCTCCCCCACCCCACCTCGCTCTGCGGCCCGTGGCCCGAGTCACTGGGACCACGTTCTCCGAAGGCCTCCGGCAGCCCAGCCATGTGGCTGCAGCCGGTCCCTCGAGGCCGGGCGGTGGGCGAGGCTCACACAGCGCCCCGGCAGCAGCCAGGGTCAGCTCGGACAGACCGCGGGCCACAGCGCGACCCGTGACTCTGCAGCCGGCGGGGTGGCGCCGTGCCGTGGGACAGGAGCTGGGAGGGGATAGGACAGGCTCCTATCCTGGGGCCACGCCGGGAAGGGCCCAGGCAGCAGGAGAGCCCCAGCCCTGCACCCCGGGCGGGGCAGACGGACGCACCCTTCCACGGGAGGGGACCCACCTGCGCCCAGCCACTCTACAGAGGGGGAAACTGAGGCCCAGAGGGAAGGCAGACATTGGGTTAAGGAGCAAGGAGCCCCTCGTCCGATGCTGCCAAGAAACCCGTGGGAGCCCTCACGACCCTTCTCCCCCTCTCCGCAGCTGCCGCCCCACTCCGGGGACACAGCAGCCATAGTCCCCAGACGGAGGCCTCCCGGCACCCCACCGCCGGCCCCCCCGCCCCCAGAGGCTGCATCCACCAGGCCCGCCACCCACAAACCCCCAGCCCCCGCGCTCCACACACCCCAGAGCCAAGGGCCGTCCACGGAGGCGCCATCCGACGGGGCCAGGGCTGCCCCCCACTCGGTCGGGGAAGGGGAGGGAGGATGCAACCCAGCCCCCGAGGCTTCACCCTGACGACCCCCACCCCCACCCTGAACTGGTAACTTCCTTCTCCAAGCAGGTGGGCGCCCTGGAGACCTGCCCATCCTTGGTGTCATGTGCAGGCATGTCGGGAGGGCCCAGCAAGGTCGGGAGGGCCAGAGGAACCAGCGTGGACTTGACTTTCCTTTCAGGAACCTCCGCAATGGTCATGTGACCCGGGGCCTAGCCAGTAAGATTCCTGTACCACCACCCCTGTCAGTGATTGGTTCATGGATGAGCATGTGACCCAATCGGAGCCAATGAGAATTGGCCTTGAGACTTTGGCTAGAAGGACCAGGAACATGGGGCTCCCTCCTGGGGAATCTACACCAGGAACGAGGAAAACCTGGAGCTCCCAGGGCCACCACGCGGCAGGAGCCTGCCAGAGAGAGATGCCCACCGGCGGGAAGGCAGAGCTGAAGGGAGGACAGCGAGTACAGTCGCATCCTGGACGACTGTGCCTGAAGGCAGATGGAAGGCGGCTCATTTCCCCTGGGGGAGCCGGGGCTCCCCCTGTGCGTCTCGTCCTCACCAGCCCACCTGAGTTTCTGTCACCTGCCACCAAGAGTTCCGACTCACACGGGGACAGAGAAGGCGTCGCAGGGGCGGCGATCCCTCAGCTGGGGGGTGTCCAGCCTTCAGACAACGAAAAGCTGCGGAATTCGGATGCCAAGACGGACGCACCTCCCACCCCCTCAGGAGGTCCCCGTGTGGACTCTTCCCGGCCACCCAAACAGGGTGTTCCGTGGGATCCTTACGAGCGTGGGAACAAGTCCACACTCCACCACGGCTAAGCTGTGTGGTGTCGGGAAAGTCACTTCCCTTCTCCGAACCTCAGTTTTATCATCTGCAGAATGGGGGTGACCGTAGTCCCCAGAACTCAGAGTCAACACGAAGATGACACAAATGCCCACGGCATTCCCTAAACACGCACATTCACACACCACCCTTGCTACTGAGGTCACGCCCGAGTAGCCCCGGTCTGTCACTTACTTAACGATTTCCATCCAAGCGAGTCACTCTAACGCAGTCAGGCATAACTTCACGTGCGAGAGAAACTGATAACACGCATGAGCACCGGCACACAGAAACCCAGGGCCACACGGAGTACATGGAAAGACTCAGAAAAGGCAATGCATGACCACGTCCGTGAAAACACCTGTCCGTCTGCCACCACCCACGCCCTCCCCGTGAGTGCAGCCCACGGTGTAGGAAAGGCCAGCGACCAGATCGTGCGTTCAACAGGCGCCCAGCGCACAGTGAGCACTCAGCACACAGCGCTTCCATCGTGGCCGTCGACGGTCCAGCCGCAAGTGAGGACGCTGCTCCGGCCCGCCCGGCCCCCCCAAAGGCACCGTGGCACCGTCCTGCACCCAGGGATGGGAGAGGGGCGGTGTGGCCGCCAGGGCTGGCCATGTGCTAGAATTCCCCTCGCTGGAGCCTGGCTCAAAGCCCAGGAGACCCTGACCACCGGATGCGGCAGCGAGAATCCCGCTCCACTCTCCAGATTTTACACGGCTCCCCGGTCTCCCTGAGCACGTGAGCTGTCACCTCTGCAGGAAGCTGGCCCTTTCCCAGGGCACCACGGGCAACTCCCAAATTGCTGTCTGACTCTGAGCTGCGTAAGGTGGCTGAGGTCTCATCCACCCACCGCCTTCCCGACCTCCTTTGCCCAAGGAGACGCCGCCCGGGACGGCAGGACCCCCCTGGCACGTGCTCCCTGCAGAGCACACAGGCCACGGAGGCCGGGGAAGGAGACCCGCTCCTACAGCGCCCTGGGGCTGGCCGGCTTCCCGCCGCCTGTGACTCGCAAGGTGCCCTGGCCGCACATGGGGCCCGGAGCTGCCCGGCCCGACGTCCTCATGTGCAGCTCGTGCCCAAAGCCAGCAGTGACCTGGTGCCACCCTCCCTCACCACGAGCTCAGCAAACCAATCTCCACTCCTCCCAACCTGAGCCCCGTCTGTGGCCAACTCGGAAAAAAAAAAAATTTATTTTAGAAAAGCAGGTTTGGCAGTTCCCCGAAAACTTAAACACAGAACGACCGTATGACCCAGCAATGCCAGGCACGTCCCCAGAAGACTGGAAGCGGGGACGCAGACGAACCGTGCCACGCACGCTCACAGCTGCACTGCTGACGGCAGACACAGCCCGGACCGAGGCTTGTCCTCACGGCGGAGTATTACGCAGCCCTGAAAAGGAGCAGAGCTCCGGCAGGCCCCGCCGTGGAGGGACTAGAAAACGTGGCACTGAATGAAAGAAGCCAGGCCCGGAAGGCCACACGTCGCGAGATCCCACGCATGGAAAATGTGCAGACGGGGAACTCCGGAGAGACGGAGAGCGGGGAGAGAAGGGGGGGATCCCAGGGCGGGGAGGGCGGCGGCTGCCAGTGGGTGTGGGCTTTACCACGCCCTGTGAAGGTCTTGAAACCAGACAGAGCAGGCAGGTGCAGATACAAACGCCAAAGAAGGTTCTAAGCGGTGGCTTTCCGTCGGCAAGGTTGGCAGGTGAATGCCCAGGAGAAAATCGATGCGCTTCCTCCACGGCGGGGGTGGGGCGGGGTGGGGCGGGGGGGGGGGGGGGGGGGGGGGGGGGGGGGGGGGTGGGGCGGGGGCGGGGCAGGCTCTCGAGGGTCACATGTAGGAACTCGGACACAACGGCCGACGTCACCGCCGGGTCTGGCTGCGTTGGGGCCGGGAGGGGGTGGCCGGCCTGCATTCAGTGACGGACACTCGGGGTCCCCACTGCCCACTGAGCCCCGGGGCAGGCGCTGGGGACTCAAGGGGGGGGCCGGCCCCGCAGGGCAGACAGCGGCACTGGAAGGGCACAGGGGCTCTGCACGCCCAGCCTCGCCCAGCCCTGGGGGGGGCGAGCGAGAGGACACGAAGGAGGACTTCCAGGGGTGAGGAGGAGAGAGCTGGGAGGACGGGGAGGCAGGCTTGCCCAGAGGCGAGCGCAGGCACCCTGTGTCTGAGAGATTGACCGAGTGAGCATCGGTGCAGGAGCACGGTTTTTGTTCCAAGGGCAATGGGGAGCCACGGAAGGCGGTTGAGGGGGAGAATGAAAGGTCAGAGTGTTTCACAGGGCAGCCACTGTGGGGGGCGAGCATGGAGCAGGAGACGGGGAGGCTGCAGAAAACATGCCATTGTTGGTGGCGGCGGGGCACAGTGACAAGAGGGGGAAGCGGGCAGACGGCGTGAAAGCCAGGCAGGGGCAGACTCCCAGGCCTCGCGCCCTCCCGACACCTCGCTCCGAGCCTCGGTTTCCTCAGCTGCAGGCTGGGCACACAGCAGCTCCTGCTCCACGGGCCTGGTAAACAGCAGGTGCTCAGCAAGGCAACTCAGCAAGGCCAGGCCGCGAGGGACGGAACAAGCAGCGCAGAGGGACGTTGCGCGGGGACAACGGGTCCCGGTGGACGTGGGACGTGCATCCGGGACGGGTCCCAGATGTGGAGTGGTTGGGGACGGTCCCGGGTGGACGTGGACGTGCATCCGGGGGGACGGTCCAGGGTGGAGTGAGTTGGGGGACGCAAAGTCTGCGACACCGTCTACTTCAGCAGGTGCTGGGTGGGTCTCTGTTCGGTTCACTGCTCCATCCCCAGAGCCTGGCGCACAGTAGGCATCTAACCAATAGTCACTCAACAGAAGCGCCACAGCCAGGGAGGACCCCACCCCGGGCAGACGTGGCCCTGGGCTGCGGTGGGCGCAGCGCAGCCCAACACCAGCGGCGGAGAATCTGGCGGTTCGGGACTCCCGCGTTTACTTCCTGGCGTGCTGTAAACATCGGGGACCCGGCCAAGTAGTCCACAGCCACCTTCAGCAGGGACGCCTGGCACAGGACGGCTCCGGAAAGGTTCAGGAACGAGGCCCTCGAAGTGAGTCTTGAGATGCGAAAAGCCCCTGGGACGTGGCAAGGGTGAGCCTCTCGGGCCCGGGGCTCACGGCTCTGCCGAGACGCCCGTGCTGTGACGGCCTGGCGGACACACCACGCCGATATAACTGACCCCAAGTCCCCGCCCTGGTGGAGCCGACATTCCAGGGAGTGAGACAGGAGTGGGAGGGTGC